CGACGCTGCGATAGCTTCCCCATAGAAACCGGCCCTTCGCGACGGGCGCCGTTACAGCGCCGCCGGGTACAACGCACAGACGGGGAATAACCGAATTCTGTGTGACTGCGCCTGTGTGGGAGACCGGCGCGTCCTTCCGGGTGCAGAAGTCGCTGTAGAAGGGTGACTCTGTTTCCGTGTGGCCCTCCGCCTAATCAGCCTGCATTTGAAATCGCTTCTCATTTTGAGTTTTCCTTCTCGTTGACCCTCAAAGCCTATTTCTCTAAGGAGGAATAAAAGGAAAACTAACCCGTTTAGGCGCACGCATTTTGCCAGCGTGTTCACGAGATGCTGCTTTGCGTGGAGCTGTGCTCGAACGCCACCCCCCAGAGGCAGCCTTTGCTTTAACTGTTTGGTGGCTTGCGACAAGCGCTTCGATAAGTCGCCGAGGTGGCCTCGGCGTAAGTGGCGGCATCCCTGGCTCGGTGGCACCGTCTGCCACCCTCTGGTAACCCTCGTCGTGGTGGCAGAGGTTTCCAACCCCCGTGATGACAAGCGGCTGCCGGCTTTCTCGGCCGCGCTTGAAATGGGGTGCGGAGGGGGCTCTTGGTGGGAAAGGTAGGACCTAGATGAAGGCACGGCCGCCGATGCTGTTGGCAAGATAAAGCCCTGAGGGCCCCGGCGACCGTCACGGGCCGTCCCGTGGCATTTTAGCGCTCGAGGCTGGAGCTGAGCTCGCCCCAGGCGTGCCCACCGGCACGCCCCTGGCCCCCCAAGGTCCAGAGAGCCGGACGCGCGGTCCCGCTCTGCTGTTTGCCTTCTGGGCTGTTTAACTTCTGCCCCTGGTGTGCCTGAGTTTCCCCAGACCGTGTCTTTCCGAGCGGGAGCGGTACAAGCGGGTCTTTGCTCTCCGACGGTCATTGTGGGCGGCTCAGGGTGCCCTTTGCCTTGCCGTTGCAGGTCAGCCTCAATGACTCCCACAACCAGATGGTCGTCCACTGGGCGGGAGAGAAGAGCAACGTGATCGTGGCCTTGGCCAGAGACAGCCTGTCGTTGCTGGGTCCGAAAAACGGCGACGTAAGTACTGCAGCCTGGCGCCGTCCTGGGGCGGCTTCCCTGCCGGGAAGGTGAAAGGCCGGCCCGTGAGTTGGAGTTCAGAGACACACAAACCAAAAAATTTACGATCGTCTGTCCTGCCCCACGGGTTTGAGCCCTGAAAGGCCGGCTCAGGCCATCTCTAAGGCTTTCCCCCCTGCAGCTTTGCGCTTTTTTACCAAATGTGTCAGAAGGGAAAGCAGAGCTTTGGGCTTCTGACGTGGGGGCTTCTCCTTCGCAGGTTTACGTGTCGTACGACTATGGAAAGAGTTTTAAGAAGATTTCAGAGAGGTTCACCTTCAGCGGAGGGAACAGCAGCGAGGTGGCCATTGCCCAGTTCTACCACAGCCCGGCCGACAACAAGAGGGTGAGGATGCGGCAGCCGG